TTATTTTTCAGGGATGCTGAGGTAAAATTTAGGGGTGCTTAAGCACCCGCAAAAAGAGGTTAAAATCACCACTGGTTCAAATTAAATTTAAAAAACTGAATAGGAAAAAAAAAAAACTGGTGTCCTTTTACCTGTATTTCCAGCATTTCCCCAGTAGAGGTGCACTAGAGACGCTGTTGTGTATTACAGGTAAGTTAACAGCGGAGAACAAGTAATTTCTTCTTCTATGCTTTTAATTTTACTTTGCTACAAACTCGTCTGTAAAAACATATTTATCAAAGAAAAGAAAAGTGTACAGTGAGTGCTAAGTGTTTAAAACGGGGTGGCCAACAACATATTGTTTCACTGAGGTCCAATCTAAGGCAGTTTTTATGCCAAGAAACTGTCACGGTTTTCAAAGAGTACACTTTGCTAATGCTAAGTATGCTAGGAAGCCTTTTTCCGATGGATATTTTTTTAAAGAAACATGGTAAAAACAGAGCAGGTCTATTGCGTCCGGAGGGCCAAGATAAGTTGGAAAAAATCAGTTTATCACACAGGACTGTGACTCACCTTGTGGAACTGATTGATGAAGATTTAGCCAGCAAAATAAGCTAAAAGGCAGAGAGAACATGTCCTTTAAGTACGGTTTACTGGATCAAAATAATAAAGGACACTGCTCATCTCTTTTTCTTTCTTTTTTTATCTGTGGGATTAACAACAGTTTTGAGATAATGGAGGTGTTTTTGACCCTGGAGTCTCTGAAAGGAAAAGCACGGAGAGAGGATTTTTATAACCGTCTGCTGTCATGAGAGAATGAAGCTACTGTGGAGTAAAGTTAATGTCACAACAGAAAGATCACCGAATTTAAATGGAAAACATGTCGGGCTGCCGACAAAAATCCACGATAAAGTGAAAGGAAAACCTCGACCAGGATGTTATTTTTCATCCATCAGGAATCGCTGTAAGTCATGCTTTGTGTGTGCGTGTGTGAAACTGTAAATTATGTTTTAAATATTTTTTTTAAATGTGAAAGACAAAAACGTGTGAATTATTGTTCAGGTACTTTGTTGTGATGCTGCACAGATGAGCTGCAGGAGGATGACGTCTGCTTTTAGTCCCAACCTGCCACAGCTGACCTGTCATCAACTTTAGATCCTGTAGTTGTAAAAAGTTTTGTGAGGAGTTTGTAGAGGTGAGCTGCCACTTTATTTGGACTTTTCTCCTGTATTCCATTAGCATAGTGAGGTAAGAGACTTGTGGTTTGGTGAATTTTATTTTTCTTCAGGTAAGAGAAAATACAGTGGTTTGTTTTGTTTGTTGTTTGGGCCTGAAGTTGGTAAGACTCCACAAAGTTAATAATTTCACTACTGTAAATAAAATCACTGTTCTATCATATAATCCTGACTTAGTGGCTACTTGAGTGGTGCAGAAGGTGGACTCGCCCATAATTAATAGCGTCCCGGCAGCTGTTATTGCGCTGGGGTGTAACATCACACAAACACTCCATCCATCTGTTCCTGGCCCAGCCCTTCGCTCCAATTTTAGAACTCAGTGTGGCCCGCGAGTCCGAAAGTTTGCCCACCCCTGACCTAAGGCATCCTGGTACCAAATGCACTTATGGACACCCCTATGTCCGATCATGGTGTTTGTGATGGACAAACTATGACTAGCACAGAATTCCAACAACAGAACAACACTTGAGTTCACATCAGAGAGGCCGTTCTTCCAAATCACACCCCTCCAAGTCACACTGTCATTACCCATGTGAGCATTGAAGACCCCCAGCAGAATAAAGGAGTCCCCAGCTGGAGCACCTTACAGCACCCCCTCCAAAAGCACCGGGTACTCCGAACTGCCATTTGGCGCGTAGTCACAAACAACAGTCAGAGCCCATCCTCTCACCTGAATGCGCAGGGAAGCCACCCTCTCATCTACCAGGGAAAACTCTAACACTCAGATACCAAGTCTGGGGGCCAAAAGTAAGCCCACACCAGCTCGGAGCCTCCCATCATGGGCAACTCCAGAGTGGATTAAAGTCCAGCCCTTCTCAAGGAGATTGGTTCTGGAGACCTTGCTGTGGGTGGAGGTGAGCCCAACAAATTATACTGACTAAGCCTGCTCAATCAATCAGTGAATTCCTTGAATCTTATTGCGTGGCTGATGTGTGCTTCCGTAATCCTACTTCAAGATCATACTCATTTTCTCTCCAGTTCATAAGACACTTTCAAATTTTGTTTTCTTGATAAAAAAAAAACTCAAATTGTTTTTAATTGTTTTTATAGATAGTCAACTTGCTGTACTGCTGGAGAATATTGTGAATGGCAAACCCCTCAATCATGACATCAAGAAGCTCAGCAACGACTTCCAAACATCATGTGTTGAAGCTTTCCATAGCCTCATAAATCAGTTTGCACCAAAGATGATTGTTTTCTCATACACAGGGATGCAAATCAGTTACGAGTTACAAAGTTGATTACATTTTACACATGTAGGTTTTCTATGTATCTCTCTATCTAATTACAGATGATTGCTCGCGGCATTAAACTATAATGACAACTCTGGAAGAAAACAGGCAGAAAAAAAAAGGATGGGTCCAAAAGATTTTCCCTTCATCATCCAAAGTGGAAGAAAGATGAAGGATTTGTTGTGCGCAATATCCCAGACAAATGTAATTTCATTAAGTTAATTTAATTGGAGTACGCTTTACTGAATGTTCGTTTTTGTCCTGGTATGTTTTTATGAGTAACATGTAATTAGCAAATGCGCACAGTATATTCCACATATTTTTTTTTTTTAATGTCTTGCAGGATATGTTGATAACATCACGCAGTCCGTTATTGCCAGATGTGAAGAATAGAAGTCATGCCGGGAGGAAGCTGCTCTTCCAGGGTCTCCACCTCCCCTCTATGCACATTTACCTCGACCTGACAAAGCTTAGGCTGTCACCAAACATCAGCAATGTTTCTGAGAAAGTAAAGAACATTTTATCCTGTCATCATTTCACTTCCAACACATTCTAATGTCTAAGCATTCTGTGAAAATCAGTTCACCTAGTTCTTGTTTAGATAACAAACATGATTCAAGACTGTTGGGATGGTAAAACACCATTTACTAGTTTAATTATCAGTGTTGGTAAAATCAAAAAAACATTTTTTTATTTGCCTGATGAGTGTATTTGTTTTGCTTTGTTTTTGCTTCAAATGTTCAAATGCTGTATGTCTAAACCTTTCACAAATACAGTTGACACAATTTGTGTGATTACTTTATTTTTCAAACATCTGGAACTTTTTTTTTGGCAAACAACAAATAAATATTGAAAGTTTGTTTTATTTTTGGAGATTAATGAAAGCAATGCCAAAATATATAAAACATTAGTGCTGAAACAACAGCAGTCCAGATAAGAATAAACTGAAACTGTAATAGATTATATTATCAGTTTAAAGATGAGTAGCTGAATCCCCTGTAACTTTCTGATGGTAATGCTTCTCTTATTGCCAGAATTACACAGGCTGGTAACACAACATGGATTTTACATCCAAGGTATCCCCATGTCCATCGTACAAATTGCCGAAAAGCAGTATATCTGTAACGCCTACAAAAAAAGCACAATAGTAAATAAAATTTAAAATATATGTAATTCATTTCTACTTTTGAATATACGTTTGCTGTAGATTAGGTTTACTGGTGCAGATTCGGAGGCAGTTAGTTAGTACGCTGTCTGCAAGACCTAGACCTCCAGACATACTGTATAGGAAATTTGGGGTGTTGCTTGATACAAGTTAGGGTTTGGTTTTGAAAAAGTTGCTCATATTCTCTCATAACATTTAAAACTTGGGGAACCACTTGACAACATACACACTGTGTCACATTGGGTATAATGTCACAACTGCTGCAAGTGCACCTGTAATAAAAACACGTACGTCTAAGAAATAATAAATGCTACTTAAACAGTAGGGTTGGGCATCGTTTGAATGTGAACGATTCCGGTTCAGATTCTTTGCTTCGATTCCGGTTCCTATTGATTCCCGATTCTGGTTCACGTTATAAATGAGCTAGTTAGCCAGAGTTCGTTCGGAATGAAATAATTTGAACTTCCATTTGAATTTGAATTCTATGAACTTTTTACTTTTTATTAACTTTACTATGAATTTCTTACAGGGCTATTTTCAACCAGTATATAACTATCAAACTTATGAACTTTAATATAAATGTTATGAATTTTCTTTTTACAGGGGTAACTTTCACAAGAGTTTTATTTTTGAAAACCTCATGAAAATACAGTATATTTCCACATGTCTAGTGTCTGATGCTGCAGCCATGTTACTGAGCTACTGATGGGCTAACCTTGTGCAGATTACCAAACAAAAAAGGAAAACTTGTACAATCCTGTCCAGATTAGCAGCAGGTACAATATAAAATCAGAAACTGTTCTTGTTGAGGAAAATGATCATATCTGCTTCTCTGGCAGTAAGTGCGAGTGTTATGGACAGACAGTGTCTCCTGCAGTGGAGAACACACGTTTGCTGGGTGTAGAAGTAGCTTGAACACATAAATATGAGAAAGCAATATCCGACAGCAAAAGATAAGTCTTGTGTTGGTTCCACCACCAGCAGCAGGGTCCTCAGACATAATGGCTGGTGGAATTTTCTGGTACATCTGCAGCCCTCTCTCCACTTGTTTCTTCATGGACATGGAGCTATGACACTACGTTCTGTGCCTCGTCCTCAACCTCAGGCCTTTCCTCAGACTGCATGGTAAACCCATCATCTCCACTGTCTTCCTCTGTTGACTACATAGAACATTACTTGCATTTAGATTTCAGATTTTAATAGCAGAAAAGGACAGCCGTGCACGAACAACATATCACCTGCTCAATCAGCTTTCTCTGGATCTGCTCCCAGACACCGTCATCCATCTTCTGTTTAAAGTGCAGATCAGTTCTAGTTACATTGGACTTCTCACCTTATACCAAGATGGGATTAACTTATTTGACAAGTGGTCCATGGTAGGTGGTGTGTACTTGGGTTGATGGTTTTCACTATGTCCCCGCAAACACAAAAACAAACATGTAATATCACCATTACTGTAACATTACCTTAGGATGGACTATTAATTAGCTTAGCTCTATTGTTATTGTCCAACTAATCTAAATGTTGGTGATTCCACATCTGAAAAGAGATGCAACCTTTTCACAATGTATGTAACCGTTCTGTGGCACTCTTCATTTAATTAGTTGCACAAACATCTTTTCCTTGGACGCTATGTTGAACGGAGAAGCACAGCGTGGAGCCAGGCTAACATTATTAGCCATTTCAGGTCGTTTGTCTATGAAAAAATACGAGCAAATGTTAGCATGGTGTTTGTATTTGCATTAACCTTGCGTTTTAAGTCAAGTATAACTTGTTAGCTGCTTTAATGTTGGTATGAAACGTAGTTTATAATCTTACTTACCTGATTCTGAGGGTCGGAGCTGGAGGAGGAGGAAGTGAAAATACTCCAGCGGAGCGCGTCAAAGACTTCACTCTTCATGTATGCGAACACTTCCGATGGATTCTTCTTTGTTGGTGTTTGGCGGGAGGTTTCAACTTCCAGTTAGCAGACTAGGCATCGAAAGTAGGAATCGAAAATAAATCATTTGAACGATTCCAGGAAAACCAGAACATTTGTTCCGATTCCAATCAATTCTCGATACTTGATGCCCAACCCTATTGAACAGGGCACTTAAAATATTATGTGGTAACTTAGGTTTTTGGTTCTTTGTTTTTAGCAAGAAAATCAGAAACATGAACTGTTCATATATTCAAAGAGCACCAATATTTAATGTTTTAATGTTGTAACCATGTTTTGTTTAATTTGTTAGCAAGCTAAGCTACAAAAACAAATTAAAGATGTACAAGTTCTTCTTAAAGACCAAGTTTGTCAGCTTCATTAAAACTGTAACTAAAATGTTACAAACATAATCACAGTTGATCCAAATTTGCAAACCTAATCTGCAGAGTTGAATTTCTGCTCCTCCACAATCTTCTCCACCAGTTGCTGCTTTCATCTGGTCAGCTGAGCTGCTGGTTGGAAGATCTCCATCTTCCACTTGGTGCTGATGAAGCTGAGAGAACAGAGGTTTCTCTTCATCATCCTCACTTTTCAAAGAAACTTCAGTGAAGGAGAACCTGGTGTCAGGTAGCTGCTCTACATCCAGACTGGTCCTCAGTTCCTCCTCGTCCTCCTTTATGTTGAGGGTCTCTGGGTCCTTCTGGTCCACCCCAGAACTCCATTCTTCCGGAGGTTCTTCTCTAATCAGCACCGTCTGCTGAACATCTGCAGGGAACAATGAAACACATGAACAATAAGGACAGTTATAACTTTATATTCACACAAACATCACTGGTGTTATCACTGAGTTCACTGATTAGCTCAAAGCAACATCTAATGCTGGACGTCAGAAAAATGTCCTGAAACTAAATCCATAAAAGACAGAAGTCCTTATAACTGACTCCCAGAAGATGGTAAAACACGTAGAGCTTCCAGTCGGCTCTTTAAGGCACAAAGTAAACCTGTTGCAAAACTCTAATTTTTTTCCAGATTCTCATCCAGTGTTTCTCCTATCATTATCCAAGGAGCGCTCCGCCCTATTAACAGAAGTGAGCACCCTGTTGACCAAAACGGGGATAATTTGACCACTTCTGCGAATGACTAAATTAATGCACTGATAAATCGGCGAGCCCATTTATTGCCCCCAATTTCCTTAATTTTGTGTGATCGGACAATACCAATTTTTTGTAGTTTAACAGCAATTGTCTAGTTCAAGTTCAAGTTGTGTTTATTTGTCATATGCAAGGTTAACACAAAGTTAACATTACAATGAAATGCTTAGGATGAGAAGAACCAATTTCACTTACTAAAAAAAAATCAAAGAACAACTTAATTTATATTATAAATAATAAATAAACTTCATTTATATTTCAGAGCACTACCTCATGGCCACTTAAAACAAGTTTGTGTTGTTTCTAGGACATTGTTCAAGGCTATGTTTTTCAATAACATAAGATTGGAAAATTGAAGATGCATTGTGACCTATAACTCCTGACAGTGTCACTTACAAAACAAAATTGGTATCGGCCAAAATCGGCAGGTCGGACTTTTTAGAGACCGGTGATCGTCCAGAAAATTGCAATCGGTGCACCCCTTTTTAACAGGCTCAGGAATTTTTTTATTTGAAGCCCTGATCTCTGCAGATTAGAGTAGCATTAATTTATGGTCATAATGAATAAGGTTAAATGATATATTTACAAATTCATATATTATGGCTTGATATTTTCTCAATAGTTGTCTGCTAATCAGAGATTTTAAAAGTTTAGTGAAGTATATAGTTCTTGTCACACAGGGGAGTCAATTCAATTCAGTTTATTTATATAGTGCCAAGTCACAACAGAAGTCATCTCAGAGAACTGCACAGAAACATTCACATACATAAAAAGTAAGTTAACAACATTATTTATCTGAGGAGCAGAATGCTTTGAGCTTAACTCGACTGCAGACTCAAATCTTGGGCAAGCATGAAGGCAACAGTGGAAAGGAAAAACTCCCTCATTAGGAAGAACTCTCCAGTCATTCAAAAATTGTAGAAATATATATTACAGTCTGATCGTTTCATTTTCAGGTTTAATGTTTGTCATAGTGCAACTGCACTTTATAAGAGAATGTGTTCATTATTAATAAAGCATTTCAAGCTTTAAAAATGACTACTTGCTTTCTTGATCACCCCTGTACTAAAAACACTGGCACAAAATAAAACACCACAGCTGGGTGCCCCCTGCCCCACGTGTCAGGCTCATTGCGTCATAGTCCAGTGGAGCTGTGGTGGGTGTCCCTTATTTTGATTCTGAAAGGTGGCAACCTTTGACAGGAAATATTTATTCAGTAAAAAAAATGGTCACGTCTCGGTCTGTAAACATGTAGTTTTAACGTTACATCCCCACTAAGTGACTCTAAAGTAAATTGCACCTTGATAACAGCCTTTTTGGATCAATCAAAAAGGTTCTGGCTGGATTTTAAAAGAGATAAAGGTGCGACAGTACATGATCCTCTAAAGATGCTAAGTCACTTAGCTACAAAACCTGCAGCTAACATGATCACAGTGAATAAGATAAATGTATTTATACAAACCTAATGTGTGCAGACGAGCTCTGGGGTTCCAAACAGCATCCAGGATTTTGTTTTCTTGCATTTTTTCTTTTAAACGAGACCGTTCCTCTTCATGATCTGGGCCTGTTTTGTCCAGAAACTCCGACATTTATTCGGCTGCTGCTTCCAGTCGTTGTTTAGCCTGATGTCTCCACATCTGCTAGCTTTCGTTGATCTGAAGTTTGCTTTAACAGTTACTGAGCCGAAATCAAGACGATGGATTTACTGTAAACGTTAGAGAAACTGTATAAACCGCTGAAAAGTAGGGACGATCCATCTATCTGAAAGCAGAGCTAAAGGCTCATGAAAATAAACAAAAACCGAACGAGCGTTGAGTCGGAGCTTGATTCATTTAGTCTGAGTCACGTGATCAAAGATGTTTGAATATCATACATATAATCACTAGATCCCGCATTGTCTGCTGCGGCTTTGTAATCTCGGCCGCCATCTTGGAGCGGTCGTCATTATTTGGTTAAAGCAGAAGATGTCTCAGCACTTGGCAGCTTATTTCTGTTCTAATCGACGGACTGTTGACGTCAGGTCTCGGGGGATAACTTTTCACAAGTAAGATGAACATATTATTGTTAGTATTTTGTGAATATAATATTACTGTACTGTATTTATATCCACCAGCTGATTTTATGTTCAGTGTAACACGGTGTTCAGCTGCAACGAAGCTAACTGAGATCTGATGACAGGAATATTTTTCTAACAAGCATACTCTCAATTTCAGTAGTTTTGGTTCATTATCAACAGATATGCATCAGAATTGGAGTTTTGTTTAAGTTCTAGGAAATTAAAAAATAAAACTAGGGAGAATATAGGAAATAGAAAATAAGATTGACCTCCTTTGTACAATGTTTTTGTGTAGACACAAATCTCCTGTTTTCATTTTGAAGGTTTCCCAAAGAACAAGATGTGAGGAAGAGGAGGAAGTATATTTGAGGAGGATTCATCTGAGCAGTGAGGATTTGAAACTGGAGGATTTTGATCAAACTGATCAGATTGTCCCACTGAGAGATGGTGTGGTACCATCGGTTCACCTTCAAAGAGTAGGAGCATCATTATAAGTTCATTAGAGTTCATAAATTTACATATTTTATTGTCAGTCACAAGGTGAGACACCTCCATGTGTTTATATGAACAGGTAACTAGAGACTGTAAAGTTCATATTCATGATGTTTTTTCATTTCAGCTTGAAAACTGCAGGACTACAGGAACTCAACAAAAGCTG